TATGAAATTTGATGGAAAATTGACAAAATTATGCTCTTGCGAATTTTGATGTGTCAGCGATATTTACGCATCGGCGATTTTGCGGACTTTGACTCCCATTTTAGGCCAATTTCATTATTCCAGTTGACCAAATTCTTAGCTATTTCACTAGTATTATACTTTATTCTATCGATTGAGCACAAGAATTCGCCAAGTCAACTGTTTCAACTACAAAATAAAGTGATCGGAAATTGGCAACTTGGCCAATTTAATGCAAAGTTCAAAATACTCCAATTTCAAAATAGGGTCCAAAATAATCAATGCAGGCATTCCTGGCACTAAACTAACATTTCCTCTGTTCATTAGTTATGTTTTCAGGCTTTACTAATGAATTCCATTTTGATTTTTTATTCACATAATGAATTTGTATTCAAACCAAAAAATAGAAGATTTACTCTTGTGCAATATTGTAATAATTGTATAAATAATATCAGCACATTTGTGAACGTATATTAGACCCACCAGCTGGTGTGTATTAGACATGTGAGGTCATTTGTTTACTCTTGAACATCGGCAAAAACTTAACATTTCCGCTACTTTGAGCTCAGTTTCAAGCCATTTCCAGTACTAAAACCAATCAAAATCATCTCTATTTCTGTAATGTGTCTTCCATTCTATCAAATGAAACCAAGAAACTGCAAATACAACCATAAAAAAACATATAAAAAAACACAAAATTGCTGTTTTAATCGGAAATTACGGTCTCGGTTTCTTTTCTCTCATTATGCACCGTGTGCTGCAGGATTTGTTTTATGTGGTGCACACATACCACATAGATGTATTCTCTCATATCTAGGCCCAAATTTACCACTTACAGCTTATCAGAGTGAGCTGAGCTCATGGCATAGATCTACAGTTTGGACCCTCAACTCAAAGCCGTAGAACTACGGCATGGACCCTGAAAGGGTTAAATTGGAAGCTGCCATAGTGAAGAGCTCTGTTCCCCAAGGCACAGTACTCGCCTCTGTCCTGTTCCTCATCCTTATATCAGACATAGACAGAGATGTGAACCATAGCACCGTATCATCCTTTGCAGACGATACTAGGATCTACATGAGAGTGTCATCCATTGAGGACATGGCAAATCTCCAAGAAGATAAAAACCAAGTTTTCCAGTGAGCAACGGAGAACAGTATGATGTTTGAAGAAGACAAATTCTAACTACTCCGTTATGGAAAACTGAAGGAAATAATAGCTAGAACTGAGTATACAGTGGACCCCCGGTTAACGATATTTTTTCACTCCAGAAGTATGTTCAGGTGCCAGTACTGACCGAATTTGTTCCCATAAGGAATATTGTGAAGTAGATTAGTCCATTTCAGACCCCCAAACATACACGTACAAACGCACTTACATAAATACACTTACATAATTGGTCGCATTCGCAGGTGATTGTTATGCGGGGGTCCACTGTACTACAAACTCTGATCACACAGTAGAACGGAAAAGTAATGTCAAGGACCCGGGAGTGGTAATGTCTGAGGAGCTCACCTTCAAGGATCACTATCACATCTGTGAGAAAACTGATAGGATGGATAATGAGAACATTCAAGACGAAATGCCAAGCCAGTGATGATCCTTTTTAAATCACTTGTTCTCTCTAGGCTGGAATACTGCTGTACATTAACATCTCCATTCAAGGCAGGTGAAATTGGAGATCTAGAGAATGTACAGAAAACCTTTACTGCACATATAAGTTCTATCAAACACCTTAACTACTGGGAACGCTTGGAATCACTTGACTTGTACTCACTGGAGCGCAGGTGAGAGAGATGCATCATAATCTACACCTGGAAGATCCTGAAGGGACTGGTCCCTAATCTGCACAGAGAAATCACTCTCTACGAAAGCAAAAGACTTGGCAGGCATGCAACATACCCCCAGTAAAAAGTAGGGGTGCCGTTAGTACACTAAGAGAAAACACAATAAGTGTCTGGGGCCCAAGACTATTCAACAGCCTCCCACCAGCCATAAGGGAAATTACCAATAGATCCCTGGTTGTCTTCAGGAGGGAGCTGGACAGATACCTAAAGTCAGTGCCAGAGCAGCCAGGCTGTGGTTTGTATGTTCGACTGTGTGGCCAGCAGTAACAGCCGCCTTGTTGATCAGAACCTGATCCACCAGGAGGCCTGGTCGTGGACTAGGCCACGGGGGCGTTGATCCCTGGAATACCCTTCAGGTAGATTCCAGGTGGATAAAATAGAAGAGATACTAGTAAAATAGCTAAGAATTTTGTCAACTGGAACAATGTAATTGGCATAAAATAGGACTCAAATGTGGGCAAAATCACCAATGCGTAAATATTGCTGACACAGCAAAATTCACGATAGTGTAATTTCATCAGTTTTCCATCAAATTTTGTACTTTTTATTTTATTACTTTCAGAAAAAGATTTTCAGCCATTTCATAAGAACAAATTAAAAAAAATTGGAAATTCTTGGAGCCTGTGGACAAGTTTCAGATCGCGGGTCTGGACTCGGAAAGGGTTAAACTCAATAAACAAAGAAATATAGAAAAAATTCAGGTTACGAGCATGCCATATTCTGAGAGTCTTGTGTATATGAGACTGACAGAGCCTCTAGTGATCAGGACTTGTTCCTTAATGTCCTAAATGTTGCACTAGTGTCCAACACACATGCATGCACGCATGCACAGGTTTGATGGTGTTTTCTTCCATCATCCAGGATCATTTTTATGTTGCAAGAATTAAATTAATGATCCAAGACATACACAGGTACAAAAGTAATCAACACAATAGAAATCATCGATGTTGTACCATATTACACAGCTTGACATACATAAGTCGGACTTAGACAGATTTTGATGTGACTATGGTTGTTTTATATATTATAAATGGAGTTGCCCTTGGTGGGATACGGCTAGTTTGTAGATCTTTTTCTCCAACAAACTGGCCATATCCCACTGAGGCAGGGTGACCCAAAAAAGAAAAATGAAAGTTTCTCTTTTCAAATTTAGTATAATGTATACAGGAGAAGGGATCACTAGCCCCCTGCTCTTGGCATTTTGGTCACCTCTTATGACACACATGGTTTACAGAGGAAGAATTCTGTTCCATTTTCCCATGGAGTTGTAAAATAAGTGTTTTGGTGTTGGAGAGAGGTCCAGGTTTACAAAGATCATGAGTATGATAAATAATGTGAGGTGTTGCTCACTGCTGATGACAGTCTTTTGGGAGAGTCTAAAGGAAAGTTTGAAAGGTTGGTGAACAAGTTTGGGAGGATGTATGAAAGGAGGAGATTAACCCTTTCATACATCCCTATGGCGCCAAGGTTGGTGCCATACTAGTACGTATAAATTCTAGCGCCTTCATATCTAGCAATAGAAAACTGGTAGGCCTACATATGAAAGAATGGGTCTATGTGGTCAGTGTGCACAGTATAAAAAAAAATCCTGCAGCACACAGTGCATAATGAGAAAAAAAACTCCAACTGTGTTTTTGCTTTAAAACAGCAACTTTGCGGTGTATTTTTGTATGCTATTTATGGTTGTATTCTAGCTTCCCTGGTCTCATTTTATACAATGGAAGATATATTATGGAAATTGAGATCATTTTGATTGGTTTCACAATGAAAAGTACCTTGAAATTGAGCTCAAAGTAGCAGAAATGTTTTTTTTTTTTTTTTTTAGAATAAAAATTCAAATTGAAAAGCAAAAGAAATGTAAGAGAGACCTGGGGACAACATGAATAATGAACAGAATTTTTTTTATTTTAGTGCCAGGAATGTCTGTCTTGTTTATTCTGGACCCTATTTGGAAATTGGCAACTTTTGAAATTTGTGTGAAATTGGCAAAATTACCAATTGGGTGGTTTCTTGTACTCATTTGATAGAAAAAATGGAGTTCTAGCAAAACAGTTATGATTTTTGTCGACTGGTACATTGGAATTGAGCCGAAAATAGGGCTCAAAGTGGGCGAAAGTCGCCGATGAGTAAACATTGTCGAGACCGCTAACTTCACAAGAGCATAATTCCATAAGTTTTCCATCAAATTTCATACTGTTGGTGTCATTATGATCGGGAAAAGATTCTCTATCATTTCATAAGATTTTTTTTTTTTTTTCCGAAAAATTTCCTACCCTGAGAACAAGTTTAGGAGAGGGCCTGCTGATGCTGAAAGGGTTAATAGTGAACGTTGAAAAAAAAATAAAAAATTGAGAGCTTTGAAATTAGAGGATGGTGCAGCATTACGAAAGGTGTTTTTACAGATGGCATATGAAGGGTGGTTTAGGCATTTAGAAAAGATAGAGAAAAATAGGATGACCAGTAGGGTGTATAAATTCTGGGTGGAAGAAAGGAGGGTTAGGGATCATCCCAGGAAGGGTTAGTAAATGAATCAGTTCCTTCGTGTTTTGTCTGTGGTAATGGGTAGATATTGTCTTGTGTATGTGTAAGGTAGGCTTATAGGCCCTAACAAAATATATTAACTTGATGAGCTTCAAAGCTCCGATTTTCTACACACCTGCTCTTGCTCTTCATTATTTTAATTTGTTGTTTATTCTTTAATGCCTTATATTTGTTCAGTGTATTTTTAAAGCATTATTTTTCTGGTTAGCCAGACTTGAGTCATGGAGGTGGGAATTATAATGCCTGCACTCTGAAGGAAGGGTTTTAGATATTGGCTGTTTGGAGTGACATCTAAATTGTCATATCTGGGCACCTCTGCAAAGACAGTGCTTATGTGTGAATGATGGTGAAAGTGTTTCTTTTTTGGGTCACCCTGCCTCGGTGGGAGATGGCTGGCAACTTGAAAAAAAAAAAAAAAACCCAAAGTGTTAACTTTGATGAATCTACTTTATTGATTGTTGAGGGAAGATGTTTATGTATATTTTTCATAAATGTTTTTGCTCTGAAAATTCTTTGTAATGATTCTCTGTTGAGATTCAAAATGTATTGCACACCAGACTTTGAATATTATATTGAAGATATTGTTTTTCTTTTCAGATGGCAGGTCAAATAGATATGAATCGCCAGAGTGACCTGATGGCTGCGTTTGAAGAGCAGTGTGGAAAATAAATCCTAAAATTGACCAAAAAATATGCTCTGTTCATGTCAGCTCTGTTCCTTGTACACAACTCGACTCAGATATCACCTAAGTCCCATTATTTGACATGTTTTGTACATATAGTCATAGCTGTGTTTATATTTATTATGGTTCTGTGAGAGTTCTTGTTGTTGCTGTACATTTATGTATGAAACTTATGGATGTAAATGTTACATTTTGGCTGTGAAATCGTCCCTTGCCAATGCATGTTGTCAACAGGATGTACAACCATTGGCCTCACTGCTTGATGGCACTCTGTTCATTTGGCCAGCCCTGGATACAAAAATACAAGTCCTGTTACTGCTGAAACCAAGTGATTTTTTTTGTCATTTGAGCTAAAATTGGCCCTTAAAGGTGCCATATGATGTGGCGTTAAAAGAGTGAGCTATATTGATGAGTGTGAAGAGCAGTGCACGTGCTCAACTGTTTTGATCATTGTCAGGATGAGCACAAGACCTAGCTTATCACTTGCAGTGTACTACATCATGGCAGAATATTCTGTTTTGTCCGCCTCACGATATCTTTATTAACTTTGATGACTCTCAATTCCACTGTTTTTTGCTTGTAATTTTATTATTTCATGAGTAGCATTAGTGATTAGGAAAGGCACACCTTTTGTGGTATGTTAAATACCTCCTAAAATGATTATGTATATTTTTTGTTACCTTTGAAAACATTCTGCAAGTGAGGAAAAGTCAGTGAAATGAAATTTCAAGAGCATTTTGGCAGTGGAATAACTGAATCATCTTTATTTACAGTATATTGCTGTATTGGTGCTTCACTGAGGATATAGGACAATACAAATACTCTGCATTTGAATCTTGTTTCAATATTACAATTGTTCTGAAGATTCTCAGTTGTCAGCTGATTGTGTTACTCAGCTGCTAACGTATGTTATGGCATCTTAGCCAGACATTTAAACTTTCCATATTGACCAACGATTTTCAACTAAGGAAATGTTAATCAATATTAGATTTAGGAACTTTTTTAATAAAAGGTGTTGAAGTATTAGGCCTATGGGCCTGTAGACCATCAGTTTGGGTTTCTTTATTTCTATAACCTTTGGTATGCTTTTGTTTATTCTTGATATCATTTACATCTTTTTATGAACTCAGTTTGCCATATTGCTTCAAGAAAGCTTCTCTAAAATTTCATATTTGGGACTTACCTTAGAGTGACTACAAATAATAATGGTATTAGTAAGCAGTGACCAGTGATGCTGTCTCAGTAGGTACATTAATTTTTATATTGCCTCAAATACTCACACTTTTTGGTGGTTAAAACATATATTGAGTTTATTTTTTTTTTTTTTTTTTTTTACATTCTATATTGTGGAGACATCTTAGTAAATAGTCATATTGCAACATGCAGGAGGTTGTGCTATGTCGGTGCTCCAGGGCTGCTGACCTTTGTATATAGCTGTATAGTTTGTCATGATAATATTTAATAAACAGAGATGACAGCCATGACTTGACTCCAGTGAAATAGTATACTGCCATATGCATCACAACACATACTGGCTTATTGCATTCCATATTCAAATACTTTTTTTGAGTGTCAGAAATTGAATACCGTTGATCAAAAACTTGAAATGAGTAAAATTGGTTTTACAGAATTAGACTCGGGAAGTTTATTTTATGCTCCTGTTATATTAAGATCAAAGCTCTTGTTAGGTTGAAATTGATAGTTATTAGGATTACTGCAGTTGAGCCCGGACACTTTCTCATCACTAGACAGTGAGGTAAGTGTGATAGCGTTATTATATAAACCACTTTCCTGCCATGACCGTTGAGTCACTTGTGCTGAAATCTACACTTGCTGGATGGTTTGTAAATTCAAATTTTAGGCCTTGTAAATTAATCATATATGAGTAGATGCGTTACTTTAATAACTGGATTTAGAGGTAATGAGTTTCTAGTGAGATATACTTCCATCTCTGGAAGCATGAGTTTATTCACTTATGTCCATAAGTATTTTGTCTTAAAAAAATTACATTTAATGAAATTTTTCTTGTTGAAAAGGTACATACAAATGATCTGAGTGGGCCTCTAAAAATTCGCAAATTTATATTGTTTATAAAGTTGCATTAATTAGTCGTGTGAGTTCTTCAGATTCCCGAGACTGAAAATGACCAATGACTACATTTCTGATTCATATAATCTTGCTGGCAGGATTGTAATTAATAAAATATAAATAATATACAAAAACCACTGTGGTATTAAAATATTAATAAGAATATTATTACTTTTGTATTAGAACCTCAACTTGAATATATTATACAGTCCAGTGGTCACTTGAGTTACACTGTTAATCCATTCCAGAAGATGTATCTTACCTTAAAATTGTGGTAACTCTAACCCCAAGATACATGATTTTATGGTAATTCATTCCAAGACACCAGTACACACCCTGCCTGCCCTTGGATACTTTATTATTTGAGCACACTGGGGTTTTCTGAATGGTAAGCAAGCATAAACTTCAGCTTGAAATCTCCAGAGGCATTGAGACTTGACAGCAGTGGCAGAGGAGGTAGGCAGGCAGCCAGGCAGGCAGGCAGAGATTGATAAAGAATTGTAGACTAAATATTTACATTTTTGTTGTCCCAGTCTCCCACTGCCCACTTCTGGTACATGGACAGTCTCCCTCCCACTTCTGCTTGCCTTCCTACCCTCCACCCTCTCTCACTCCCTCCCACCACCCCTCTTCCCATGCACTCACCTCCAACACACCCTCCTCTGCTTCACTGAAAGCCTTTTCGTCACCCCATCTTGTCTCTGGGCCAAGGCCCATCTACACACCACAACTGCAATCTCAAAACTGAATTCCTTTATGAGGGTAAATAGTAACTAAGGTTACTTTAACTAAAGCTCATGGTAACTCAAATGACCACTGTAGTAAAGTTGTGACTAGTTTATTCTTCTCTGGTTAGAAACACTGAAGTAGACAGCAGTATGTAATGCATCTTGTTTCAGTGTTGATGTGTGGCCGGTAAACACTGATGGGACAGCTTGTGAGAGCTACACCTTGCCCAAAATGAAAGCTTGATTCAAGAAATTGGAGCTTTCCTCCCCTTCTTCAGAGAGTCTGACTGCCCCCACCCTCCCTTTTCTTTCTTACTAAATGTGGGAATATATCTCCTATCATTTAAATTTGCTCCTAGTAGAGAGGAAAAGCAGTTCACTATATATCTTTGCTTTAGCATCTCTTCCAATGGCTGTCACTCTATGTAAAGGTAATTGTATGATCTTTAGAGTGTCTGATGATAATCATGTAAGTTATTTGATGGCAGGAGTGATACTGGAGGTTGCCTGCAGATCCAGGTTGCTTTGCTAAACCTTCCTCAGTTAATTTTGGAGTTGCCATAGAGGTGGTTCACACCTGGTAGGGTATTAGGTAGTGTCCAAGACGGTAGAACTACAAGATGCATCAGTAGTATACATTCATGGGAAGATATGTGGACTCTCTTTCATTATCAGTGATGTCTCCCCTTTACTTTCTCATATTTTATGATCCTCTGGCTGTTCTACAGCTCGGTCTTACCTGCAGACCCCTGCATAATAACAGACTTCTTGGAGTCAAGAGTCTGCCTCACACACTTGTCCAGTTTCCATGGCTGGTTCCTGTATTTCACAAGTTTCCTGTACTTGCCCTTGACTTGGATCATGACTTTTTTCTCTATACAATAACTATTCACAAGTCGTCCTCCCTGTGATTCTCAGTGAGCGCTGCTGAAACATTTGTTTTTGTTCTTTTAGATCATAATCCCCTTAACTTGTCTCATTCTCCCCCTTGCTGCATTTGTAATAAGCTCTATTACCTCTCCAGGATATCTCCTGCTCTCTTATTTGAACTAAATTTTTTATGCTTCAGGCCTGTGAGTTTACTGACATACTGCATGATCATTAAGTTAGCCAAATGTTCGTGTTCATGACTGGTCCTCAGGCTGCTTTTAACCCTTAAACTGTCCAAACGTAGATCTACGTTTTTTCAACATTTGAAAGTATGTAAAAAAAGTAAGCTTCTTTTATTTTTATTTTTTTACATTTGAAAACGTGTAAAAAAACTTTGATCTTTTATTTTTTTTTTTTTTTTTTCCAACAAGTCGGCCGTCTCCCACCGAGGCAGGGTGACCCAAAAAAGAAAGAAAATCCCCAAAAAGAAAATGTTTTCATCATCATTCAACACTTTCACCACACTCATACATTATCACAGTGTGACTTTGTCAATAGTCCAAGTCGGACTGAAACGTCGTCGTAAGCTTCTCTCTTTTATGTGCGGGTTATTTGTGTATTATCACTGCTTTTGCAGAGGTGCTCAGAATACAACAGTTTAGAAGCATATACGTATAAAGATACACAACATATCCCTCCAAACTGCCAATATCCCAAACCCCTCCTTTAAAGTGCAGGCATTGTACTTCCCATTTCCAGGACTCAAGTCCGACTATATGAAAATAACCGGTTTCCCTGAATCCCTTCACTAAATATTACCCTGCTCACACTCCAACAGATCGTCAGGTCCCAAGTATCATTCGTCTCCATTCACTCCTATCTAACATGCTCATGCACGCTTGCTGGAAGTCCAAGCCCCTCGCCCACAAAACCTCCTTTACCCCCTCTTTCCAACCCTTTCGAGGACGACCCCTACCCCTCTTTCCTTCCCCTATAGATTTATATGCTTTCCATGTCATTCTACTTTGATCCATTCTCTCTAAATGACCAAACCATCTCAACAACCCCTCTTCTGCCCTCTGACTAATGCTTTTATTAACTCCACCCCTTCTCCTAATTTCCACACTCCGAATTTTCTGCATAATATTTACACCACACATTGCCCTTAGACAGGACATCTCCACTGCCTCCAACCGTCTCCTCGCTGCTGCATTTACCACCCAAGCTTCACATCCATATAAGAGTGTTGGTACTACTATACTTTCATACATTCCCTTCTTTGCCTCCATAGATAACGTTTTTTGACTCCACATATACCTCAATGCACCACTCACCTTTTTTTCCTCATCAATTCTATGATTAACCTCATCCTTCATAAATCCATCCGCCGACACGTCAACTCCCAAGTATCTGAAAACATTCACTTCTTCCATACTCCTCCTTCCCAATTTGATATCCAATTTTTCTTTATCTAAATCATTTGATACCCTCATCACCTTACTCTTTTCTATGTTCACTTTCAACTTTCTACCTTTACACACATTCTCAAACCCATCCACTAACCTTTGCAATTTTTTTCTGTGTGTATATATATATATATATATATATATATATTTGAAAATAGGTTAAAAAAAACGTAGATCTACTTTTGGAGCACTACACATGTGAACGTAGATCTGTTTGGACAGTTTAAGGGTTAATACTCAGCACACGAGTTTGCAAGTTACTGACTTGCTGCTGCCCTCCAATCTCTTGAAGTCACACCACTCGCTATAAACATGTTCACCTCAGTGTTGTCATCCTACCACACAATTGCACATTAGCACCATTTTTCATACGACGACAATATTATCTTCCATAAACTCTTATCTCTAGCATGTCCTCATCCTATATATTGGTACCTTCATTTACCCTCTGCACTTTTTTTTTTTTTTTTTTTTTTTAACAAGTCAGCCGTCTCAGACCGAGGCAGGGTGACCCAAAAAGAAAGAAAATTCCCAAAAAGAAAATATTTTCATCATCATTCAACACTTTCACCTCACTCACACATAATCACTGTTTTTGCAGAGGTGCACATCCACTGAAAATGCCAGAGCAAGATTACCAAACTCAGATTTGATGGCCATGAGCTCCTTCCACAATCTTGTTAGTCATTACTTGGTTATAAAGGAATTTACCTACAGTGCTGTCGCTGGGAATAAAATGGCACAACACACTGACTGGAACAACACACAAATAACCCGCACATAGCACGACGTTTTGGTGTGGCTTGGCCATTAGCTAGTCGTGATATTCCTCTTCAAGGGGGGCTCCTTGGCGTGGTGAAGAGGCTCTTGGTCTGAGGAATTAGACCTGTTGGTCTCCTTCCTCAGACCGAACCTAATTACCCCCCAATCCCCCCTTCCCTCTCCCATCCTCCCCTTTTTCCTTTCCTCCTCCTCCTCCCCACCCCTCCCTTTTGCCTTTCCTTTTTGGCCTTTGGGATTTTTTCTCCACAGGCGCGCTAGTTCCTAGGTAGGGGAAAGGGTACCGGGGTCCATCCCATTCTGTTGAGGTTCTTGGTGGTGGCGTAGTTTGCCGTGGAATCTGGATTGCCTGGGGATGTCTCTATCCCTCTCCGGTATCCCGGAGGATGGCTTTGGGTGTCTTTCGGGCGACGGGTGTATCTCTGAAAGCCACCTTTCAGATTCTGGGGGTGGTGGCCGAAGGAGGTATGCTTTGTGGAGGATATCCGGCCGCCCTCTCTTTTGTCCACCGAGGTAGCTCGGCAGATGTGAGGTTGTTATCCCGGATTGCTGGTTTACTGGCATGATGGGTAGGGTATGGCACGGGTTCCATGCTGCATCTGCGCTACTTGCGGTGCTGAGGTCCTCTTGGGCGCGGAGGGAGATTTCTGGCCCTTTCATTCCTCCTGGGAACTCCCTCCCCGGTCCCCCCTTTTTTTATTCTTTTTTTTTATTTTTATTTTCTTCTTTCTTTTTTTTTTCTTAAAAACAAAAAGAAAGAAGTAACCTAACCATGGAGTACCTGATCCATGACCCCGCTACCCCCGGGCCCCTTATTGTTACCGCACCCCGTTCTGACCTCGCTTCGTCTTTTGGCCACTCTTCGGACATTCCTAAGGCCCCTGTACTTCTTGCTGGTGCTGTTTCCTCACCCGCTTCAGGTACCGGGGCTTCCACTGATTCCTTCGATTTGTCTGACCTCCGCTCTTCTTAGACTATGCTTCTGGCTTCTCCCTCTATGGTGCGGCGATTTTCGAATCGCCGGCCCGTCCCACGTCGGACCAACTCTGGTCCCACTTCTAAACGTCAACGACAATCTCCTAATGATGTTACTTCGTTACCTTCCCTTTCTACTCGGAAAAGACCGACACGTGATGCACTCCCTCTCCACACTCAGTTTCAGACCACACAATGGACTAAATTCTTTACATTAAGACCGACTTCTTCTACTGCCTATCTTTCCGACCATAGTATTGGCAAAGCGCTCCTATGCCACTTATGTAGAGATATTTCCTTTCATGCTCTTAAGAGTGGTACGCGCATCATCACAGTCCAGAATTCT